CGCTACCTCCCTTCTTTATTGTCATTGAGATTTTAAAATCGAACATGATTCTAATTGTTTTTTATTACTTTTTAGAAGTTCCGAACCTTTAAAAATTGGACTTGTAGTTTTATTTTTTATATTTTTTAAAAGTCCCATCAAACGATGCCACTATGCCCCTCTACAGCCCGTCTGCCGCCTACTCTTTATTGTTATTGTGATTCTAAAAATCGAACAAAACTATCGTTGGAATCCATTTTTTATTTTCTAGAATACCCGCCAACCGTCGGCGGCTTTGCAACTATACTCTTATACACCCCGCCTGTTGCTTCTACTTTTTATTGTCATTGAGATTTTAAAAATCAAATATGATTATCAATGCGGTTTTTTTTTTACTTTCTAGAAGTCCTGGCAACCGCCTTACTCGTTTGCTTTATGGCCTGCCTGACGTCCCTCCTTTTAATCGTCATTAGGATTCTATTTGATGTTCTATTAATAATTTTTATATGTCATATCAACCACCACCACTATACTCCTTTATAGGTATGTTCCTTAATTTATCTCGTCATGTATTTTAGATGGTCTTTTCTTTCAATAATCTTTATTTTTATCACAAATTTTAGTTATTTATAAATTGTATTCCTAATTGAAATCTTATTTTTCTTTTTCTAATTTCAGTTTTTTTTTAATTTTAATTAATACCGTATTGTGTTCTTTTAATGTTTTTATTTTTTTTGTTTTCAATTTCAGTTGTTTCAAAATTGTATTCCTACTCGAGCTCTCTTTTAATTTTTCTAATTTTGGATATTATTTTATTTTTTTTATTCTAAATTTTAATTAATCTCATATTGGGTTCTTATCTGGATTCTTCTTTCAATATTGCTTATTTTTAATTCCGAATTTTAGCTAATTTTAAATTGTATTCCTATTTGAACTCTTCTTTTATTTTCTTTTTCTAATTTCGGATTTATTTATTTTTATTTCGAATTTTAATTAATCTCGTATTGTGTTCTTATATGGACTCTTCTTTTAATATTCCTTATTTTTAATTCCGAATTTCAGCTATTTTTAAATTGTATTCCTATTTGGATTCTCATTTCCTTTCCTAATTTTGGATTTTATTTTATTTTTATTTTGAATTTTGATTAATCTCGTGTTAGGTTCTTGTATGGAAACTTCTTTCAATATTGCTTATTTTTAATTACGAATTTCAGCTATTTTTATATTGTATTTCTACTTGGACTCTCATTTTCTTTCCTAATTTTGGATTTTATTTTATTTTTATTTTGAATTTTGATTAATCTCGTGTTAGGTTCTTGTATGGAAACTTCTTTCAATATTGCTTATTTTTAATTACGAATTTCAGCTATTTTTATATTGTATTTCTACTTGGACTCTCATTTTCTTTCCTAATTTTGGATTTTATTTTATTTTTATTTTGAATTTTGATTAATCTCATATTGGATTCTTATATGGAAACTTCTTTCAAATTTGCTTATTTTTAATTCCGAATTTCAGCTATTTGTATATTGTATTTCTACTTGGACTCTCATTTCCTTTCCTAATTTTAGATTTTATTTTATTTTTATTTCAAATTTTGATTAATCTCGTATCGGGTTCTTAGAAACTTCTTTCAATATTGCCTATTTTTAATTCTGAATTTCAACTATTTTTATATTGTATTTCTACTTGGACAATCCTTTCCTTTTCTAATTTTAGATTTTATTTTATTTTTATTTCGAATTTTGATTAATTTCGTATTGGATTCTTATATGGCAACTTCTTTCAATATTGCTTATTTTTAATTCGGAATTTCAGTTATTTTTAGACTGTACTTCTACTAGGACTCTCCTTTTCTTTTTTTTTCTCCGATTAATGTGAGAATTTCTACCACTCATAGCGAACGTGATGCCTCCTTTCAAAGCCGTTTTAATAAAATAATAGATAGATAGATACACCTCATACACGACGCCAATATTTTTGCAATGTCAAAATCTAAGTAAATTTTAATAGTGTCATTTTTTTAAAAGATTTTTGTGTATTATTAGCATATTTTAATAACAAAATAAATAAGTACTATTTAAAACACCGCACATTTTGACATCAAATCAAAATGACCCGTAGGGCCGTCTAACAATCTGACAGTAGAAAGTAGTAGATGAAGGTGTGGTAAGCTATCAGCAAAGGTTACATGTCAAATACTCCCTCTGTTTCAAAATATTTGACACCGTAACTTTTTAGTACATGTTTGACCATTAATTTTATTCAAAAAATTTAAGTAATTATTTATTATTTTCATATCATTTGATTCATTGTTAAATATACTTTCATGTACACATATAGTTTTACATATTTCACAATTTTTTTAATAAGACGAATGGTCAAACATGTGTTAAAAAATCATCGTTGTCAAACATTTTGAAACGGAGGAAGTAGCTCACACCATAGCAAGTATAAAAACTATGTGCCACACTGTCAAGAAATGGTAATTGTGTTATATACTTCATTCGTCCTAAAATATATGACTCCATCGTTTTGCTTATTGACGGAATAAGTGAAATATCATAATAAAACTTTTATATACGTATTCATAGCGATTTAAAAGCAAAGGCTGAAAAATAAACTACGATGAAAAAACCTCAAATTTAACTTCAAATTTAAGGTTGAAAATTTAAATTTTGGCTTATAAGCATAAGCATAAGCCAAAAGATGGAGCTGATACAACCTTCTAGCTACGAATGATAAATATTTGTTTATATTTGTAGATAAAAATGCATGGAGGGAGTACATACTTAGAGTGATTTTATAGTTTTTGAGAGGTACCATGAGTTGTCATATTTTCTAGTGTAAAATATGGTACCTCCCAATACCTCTGGTACTAAGAGGTACTAAAATTTACAATAGAAACATTGGTACCTCAAAGATTATAAAATTACTCATATATTTACCATATTGCCAGGTCTATAAGGAGGCTAAGAACAACCATTGCTATCGGATATAATCAGATGGAGTTTCTGCCACTCAATTCTAGCCCTGAATACTACCGACTGTGTTGGTGAGACGATGAATAGTGCAAACTTCATATATAGTGTAAATATGTAAACTATCACAGGATATGTAAATAGATGTATGATATTTATTCACATCACCCTGAGTAATATTTTACTCTTAGGTTTAATCATGAGTATATTTTTACTTGAATTGGCACAATTTTGGGACAGAGGGACTATCATATTCAAGATAAATTTATACATGACATTTATATATTTTTCAAATAAATATTTTTAAATTTAGAAAAAAATTTGGCATAAAAAATCAAACTTGATAGTTTCCCACATTGTAGTACCAATACTCATCCGTCGCTAAATATAAGGGATTTAGTTAGGTGTGGTGTATTCTAATGAATTTGGACAGATTTTACGTTTAAATTTATCGTACTATATACGTCGTATCAAACTAAAATCAAACTAAAATCGCTTATATTTGACTGAGGGATTACCTCCTAGAACTCTCGATGTGTAAAAGAACTACAGGGAAATTTCACCGTTTTCCTCGTGAACTTGTCGTAGTCTGAGATCCTAGCCAGGGCCAGACCCAGAGCCCAGAGTTTCCCCTGCCATTCGCTGTTACCAAAAGAGATCACCCGATCCCCGATCGTCCCTTCAGACAATGCCATCCATCCGATCGACCGATGGACGGTCCAGATCAATCTGGACGCACACGAGAGACCTCCCAAACTTTTCATGCGTCGCACTCGTGCACTGTTCGTGCCCACCCGAAAAGGCGAGCAGAAGGTGTACACCCGGCACAGTATCGTGGAATTTTTATCCCCGACGTAAATACTGCCGCAATTTTGACAATTCGATCCTTTTTAAAAAAAAATACTTATTTTAATATTAAACCGTGTCACAAACTAATTTTAAAAATAAATCGTTTTCTTGTAACATCATAGTTGGCACTGAGGTATAACACCTTAGCGCCACTTTCATTAGCACTGAGATGTCATTCTACATGTCACGGCTAAGAGAGAAGGGCTTCCACCACCAGGCTAGATCTTCCATGCAGTAAGGATGTACATGCATGATGCATAGTATTAGTAAAACTGACGGTGTTACGCTGTATCACATCCAATACTATGGATCTGTTTGGAAGAGTTTAAAATTCTGAGAAACTGCTGATTATAAATAACTTTTGAGAATATGAAAAAGCTAAGTTTTTCAGTTTCTGACTACTAATTCATTTTCTAGATTTTACAATTACATCTTCTCATAATCTTTCAGATAAATTGTACTGTTTAAAGAAGTTTCTGATTTTGGGAGAAATTGTAGTTGTTACAAGCTCTTTAAACATACTCTAGATTACTGTATTATGAAGTTTCTCAGAATCTAGATGAAAAGTTGTTTGAAGGAGTTTCTGATTTTGCGAGATGTTGTAGGTGTTAGAAGCTCCATAACATGCTCCACATTGCTCCCTAGAGATTGATTTTGAGTTTTTGCTTGCACTGTTTGATCATTCGTCTTATTCAAAAAAAATTGGAATTATTATTTTTTTTGACTTACTTTATTATCCAAAGTACTTTAAGCACAACTTTTTGTTTTTTATATTTATATAATTTTTTTAATAAAACGAGTGATCAAATAATATAAAAAACTTAAAATCCCTTATAATTATAATTATAAGACAGGGGGAGTAATGTGTATGAAACGGAGGGAGTAACCTCATACTCATAGTATGTGACCACCCCACCCCGTTTTGACTTTTGTGGTAGGTGGATCAAATGGAATTTAGTACTGCAACAGTGGGAGACTAGGGAGAGTAATTAATCATGGAAAGTCTAGCTCCCATCTTAATTACTCCCTCCAGTGTCAGTTTAACCCAGGCTTTGCTTCACCCTGCCACGTACCGGCCGGGCCCACGCGCACAGAAACGGACAACCCCACTGACTCGTGGGCCCACAGAAGAAGCCACCCCCCAGCCTTCACTCGCGCAGTCGGTCGGTCACTCCACCCACTATATGCCGCGGCTGCTGCTGCTGCAGTGTGAGCTGCTCGTGGCAGTACTACCATGCAGTGGTAGCTAGCTAGTAGCTAGAGTGAGGAGGTGTGCGAGTGCGGGAGCGGCAATGTCGCCGCCGCCGGCGGCGGCGAGGGCGCCGCCGGTGCTGAGGAACGAGCTGTCGAGGAGGACGGCGGTGCTGGGGCTGCGGCTGTGGGTGCTCGTCGGCATCGCGGTGGGGGCCGCGTTCCTGCTGCTCCTCGCAGTCATCTCGTTCCACCTCGCGCAGGCCCGGCGGCGGAAGCCGGCCGCGAAGCGGGCGTCCTCCGCCGCGGCGGCGGCGGCGGCGCCGGGGGGCGCGGCGGTGCCGCTGTCGCCGGCCACCATCCCGCCCGTGTCGAAGGAGATCCAGGAGGTGGCCGTCCACGTCGGCTCCCTCCGCCACTACCTCGAGGCCGGCGCCACGTTCCTCAAGGAAGGCGGCGGCGTCGGCGGCGCGGTGGTCGACGGTGACTCGCTGGGTGGCTCCACCGTGTACGGGTCGCAGCGCGTGCACATCGAGGCCGGCAAGGGCCGCCGCATGGTGGCGTACGCCGACGGTGAGGTGGGCCCGGTGGCGTCCGACCTGGCGGCGTCGGCGCAGGCGGCGGTGGGGGTGGGGGTGGGGCCCGAGGTGTCGCACCTCGGGTGGGGCCACTGGTACACGCTCCGTGAGCTGGAGGAGGCCACCGCCGCCTTCGCACCCGAGCATGTCGTCGGCGAGGGCGGCTACGGCATCGTCTACCGCGGCGTCCTCGCCGACGGCTGCGAGGTCGCCGTCAAGAATCTCCTCAACAACAGGTGCGCGCCGCAGAGATCGCATCTTTTCTCGCCATGTGCCATTGCCATTATTTTGGCCCCGTCCGTTGCTGACAAAAACATCTCACACACTTTGTTGTTGCTGCTGCTGCTGCTCGCGGCAGGGGTCAGGCGGAGAGGGAGTTCAAGGTGGAGGTGGAGGCAATCGGCCGCGTCCGCCACAAGAATCTCGTCAGGTTGCTCGGCTACTGCGCGGAGGGAGCTCACCGGTACACTACACACACCACGCAATTGCCAAATCGCCGCCTTCTTTTTTTTCTTTCCTTTTTTTGGCTGTTCTCTTACCAGATCATTCCTACCTACCTACTCCGATCCTACCATTTCTTGCCTGTGATCTCAGGATACTTGTGTATGAGTACGTGGACAATGGCAACTTGGAGCAGTGGCTTCATGGCGACGTTGGACCGGTTAGCCCTCTGTCTTGGGACATCAGGATGAACATCGTGCTTGGGACAGCGAAAGGGTGGGTGAACTATCATCAATGCTTCCGATTTTCTCGTCATGCATTGATGCATCTTCTTAATTTGCAGCTTTTGATTGTTTTTTTTTTTGTGAAATTGTGTGATATATCTCAATTTTGGGGGTTGACATGGTTCAGGATCACATATTTGCACGAGGGGCTGGAGCCGAAGGTGGTGCACCGGGACATCAAGTCGAGCAACATACTGCTGGACAAGAGATGGAACCCCAAGGTCTCGGACTTTGGCCTCGCCAAGCTCCTCGGTTCAGACAACAACTATGTTACCACGAGAGTCATGGGAACATTTGGGTAAGATGGATGTGAGGTTCTCAATTGTGTCGAGCCCGGTGAAATGTAAGATGTGAGCACTGAACACTAAGGTCTCTCTGGCCATCGATTCTGCATTTGCAGTTATGTAGCACCGGAGTACGCGAGCACCGGGATGCTGAATGAGAGAAGCGATGTGTACAGCTTCGGGATCCTGATAATGGAAATCATCTCCGGTCGAAGCCCGGTCGATTACGCAAGGGCTCCAGGAGAGGTTGGCTCTTCATCTGGTTGAATACTGAAACAAGCTTATGTTGTGTGTACAATGTGCTTCTTGGCCTTAATTTCTGTGGGTGCATTTCAGGTTAACCTAGTAGAGTGGCTCAAGAATATGGTGAGCAACCGGGACTATGAAGCTGTTCTGGACCCAAAATTGCCAGAGAAGCCTACCTCCAAGGCACTGAAGAAGGCTCTCTTGGTTGCTCTGAGGTGTGTGGATCCCGACTCGCAGAAGCGGCCAAAGATGGGGCATGTCATCCATATGCTCGAAGTCGATGACTTCCCATACCGAGAAGTGAGCCTTCTTGTTCTTTGCATCTCTCTGAAGTCAATCATATTTGCTCATTTGCTCTTCAGATCATACTATATGTGCATGGTAACTAATCCCAAGTTACATAAGATGGAATCCACGCAATTGTCGGGTTACCGTGATAAGATGCTAAAATATTTGCTCGATTAATCTAATCTATGCAAATGTTTGCTGACATTAAAATGGTGGCGCGTCTGCATTTCAGTTTTAAGAAATGGACAAGGCAGGGGTATCAGGATTAAAATAGGACACTGTTGGCTCTGATTGCAAGCTCCATGTCTGACCCTCGGTCGACTGTTCTTTGCAGCCTTGTCGAGATCAAATTATGTTACTGCCATGTTACCTGACTGTGCTCTGAACTTCTCTACGAGATGTTAATTACACTGTCATCCCGAAAAAGAGTATTAATGGCCTCGAGATCACCACGTCAGACTTGATTACTATTGCTCTTGATTAACTAATTTATTCCCCTAGTTGGTACAATCAGCACGACCTGCATATTATTTAGTAGTTCACAAAGATGCCAATGAATTATTTATTCTGAACAAAATTAGCATGTTTCTACTGTTCTATGTCAACCTGTATTCTGTCGTTTTACATGCCATCAGAAGATTCAGAAACTTGGACTTCATGCCTGAAACAGAGCAGTATTCTTGACACCTTAAAATTCACCTGTCTTTTGCCTGTCCACACTGCAGGATCGTCGGACTCCGCGGGCGAGCCCACTGGACAGAACAAGAACATATGCGAAGCCGGTGACGGAGTCGGGCGACGAGGGCAACACCACCACAGCTGCCAGTACGCCATCCAGATTGCACGAGAGCTTGAGATAGGTCTCACTTGATCGATGGCCTCATCAGGGCTCTAGCTAGCGCTGTAACCTGTTTTTTTTTTGTCCGTGTCGTTTGCTCTGGTTGTGCTATTCGTGTTGATCGGTTGGTGCGTAAATTTTGTGCGAGTGTGGTGGTAGCTGTGGTTGGTTGCATTTGCCTTCCATTCATGCTGTTGAACGCTCTATGTACTGTGGATTGACATAGTTTGCTGCCGGCCGACTGCTGTATAGGGAATGCTTGCGATTCTGGCAGTTTGGAATTTTGATTGTTCACATCTTACCTGTCCATTAAACGTTTCTTGCGTAGAACTGTCAACTATTGAAACACGCCTCCCAAAATACCAGCTCTAATCGTTTGAAGAAATGGAAATGGCATTACCAACTTTTTTTTTTTTTGGGGTAAGATAAACGTATCCGAAAGTATGTTCCGTTTGATGATTTACCAAATTTTACCGCGGGTATGATTTATCAAATTTTACCGACGGTAAAAATAAGGTCATTTAGGGGACTGAGGAAGTGATTGGTATAACAAATTTGGTGTTGTGTTCGATAAGGTTGTGTTTTTGGGTAGGCTATTTTAGATAAGTATGATGATCAATACGTTCCAGACATAGCTCTAGGATACACATGTGTTAGATAGAATTGTTCTTAGTACTTGATAATGCCAAAAACAACTTTAATAACGTTAGAAACAGTAGCGAACTAATTAAACATGCCCATGGTATCGGACCACATTGATCAACATTCAAATCAGTTGGTCGTACAACTGTTCTTAATTAGTACTGCACAATGCTTAAGAAAACCTTAATAACATTATAGACTAGCTAGTGGTCCGTGCAGTTACGCGGCTAATACTATACAAAACTATCTAATTTTTTTATACATGGTCTTGTTTAAAACATTTTAAATAGTCATCTTATTGTCTTATACTAATTTTAAAATGTCAAACCTTATTATCATCATGTTTCTAATTTTATATTTTCTAAAAGTCATGTTACCCACCATCTCTTAGTTCTTCGCCGTCTCTTTATTTTCTGGCCTACCACGACTTTTCTTTATTCATCTTGGTCCTTTAAAAATTAAACCTTTTAGTTTTTAGCGTTTATTGTCTCGTTAAATTTTATTTTTATAATTTTTACTGTCTGGTTAATGTTGTCATTGTATTTCTTTATGGCCCATCTGCTACACCCACTCTTATTGGGATTATAAAAATCAAACCTGGTTATCATTAGGGTTCTCTTTTACTTTTTAAAAATCTTATCAACCGTCGCGACCCTACTCCTTCACAGCTTGTTCGCTGCCTACTCCTTCACAATGCTTAAGAAAACCAAAATAACACTATAGACTAGTTGGGTGATCCGCGCAATTACGTGGATAGTACTATACAAAACTATCTAACTTTTTATACATTGTTTTCTTTAAAATTTGTTAAATAGTCATCTCATTGTGTTATAATTTTAAAATATCGAACCTTATCATCATCGGGTTTTTAATTTTATAGTTTTTAAAAATCGCATCAGCCGCCATCTCTTAGTTTTTTTGCCGCCTCTTTATTTCCTTGCTTGGCCTGACACGACTTCTTTTTATTCTTCAAAGGGATTATAGTTTTTAGAGTTAATTGTCTCATTATGTTTCATTTTTATAACTTTTAGAAGCCCTGTCAACTGTTATCATTATATTCCTTTACTGCCCGTCTCTTGCACCACTTTCATTAGGATTTTAAAAATCAAACTTATTATGGTTTGGGTTCTTTTTTTTTTTGCCTTTTAGAAATCTTGTCAACCACTAGGACCGTACTCCTTTACAGCCTGTCTACTACTTTTTTTTTGTTAATCGTCATTGGATTCTAAAAATTAATTAATCTAATCGTCGTTGGGGATTTTGTCGATGGGTTTTACCCGTCTATGGTATCTATAATGTATGGGATACATTGGTACTTAGGTATACACGAGATTACGGTAAAAAAGATATGAGATAGAGATTTGTATACGCTTCGGGCTTTCTACCACGTTGATTAAAGCTCAAATCAATCGGCCCCTCCAGCATTTGGCCCTAGACCACGAAGTGTCGAAGGTCCTCCATGACGCTGAGCTGCGGGGCCGCAGTGATCAGCCGCGGGAAAAATGGAGGAGCTGCAGTGCAGTGCTGCTCCATGTGCTTCCGCGTGAACGGAAGTCGAAGTCGTTGGCCACGAAAGGAGGGGGACAAGAAACACCTTTCTAGCCTTCCTCGCACTTAATCCGGATCGGGCCGCGTATGGTGATTGGTGAATGGTGATCGACCTGGCGCAGATAAGTGCTGGCCGCAGCCGCAGAGGCGCAGACACGCAGTAACGATTGCCACCCAGTAACGCAGGTCGATTGCCACCCGTCCCCTGCATAGGCGCATAGCAGTGTTATGTTAACGTACGGTTTGCTTGGTTTGTTTGGTGCGGCGAGTACGGTACTGTTAAGAAAAAAGCACGAATTACCCCCTGAACAATTGCGGTCGGCCGAATTACCCTCTAAACTCGAAAACCAGTCATTGCTCACTCTGAACTTTCAATACTAGACGAATTACCCCCCTCGATCCAATTCACAGCGGTTTTGTCCTACGTGGCGTACGCGTGGCAATCCGGTCAGCATTTTCTTTCTAAAAAAATAGTGGGACCCACCTGTCATACCTCTCCTTCCTCTCTTCCTCTCTCTCTATCTTCACACTCTCTCTCTCAATCTGCACGGTGATGGGGAGCCGGGAGCGCGAGCGGCGCGTGGGGGCGGACTAGCGGTGGGCGGCGGCGCAAGGGGCGGAGGACGGCGGTGGGCTAGCGACGAGCGGCGCACGGGGGCGGACTGGCGGTGGGCGACGGCGGACGCGAGCAGCTGGACGGGTTGATGAGCGAGACGTCGTCGCGGAGGGGATCTCAAGGTAGTAAGGTAAAGCGGCAACACCATGACGCCGACGAGCTTCCCCACCCAGGCGAGGAACATGACGAGCTGCAGCGACGGCGGCGGCGGCAAAGGAGGCGAGCAGCGGGGAATGAGGCGGCGGCGGCGAGGCGAGGCGAGGCGGCCGGCCCGCGCACGAGCGCCCGCTACTCGCCACGCCCGCCGCTGCTCCCGCCGCCGCCGGTTCCCCTGCCTACCCCGGAGGGCGCCGTCGCCGCCGACACTTCCCCCGCCCGCACTGGAGGGCGCCGCCGCCGCTGCCCCCGCCCGCCCTGGAGGGCGCCGTCATCGCCGCTGGTGGTGTGTGATGCGAACCCGCTAGGGTTTGTGGCCCGATCTTTCGATGAGAGGTAAGGGATAACTTGATTGGATGAAGACGACATTCACGGCCCGACTACAACCGTCCAAAGACGTTGCGCCTTAGCAACCGATACACCGTCTCCAATGGTCGCCGCTAACTTGTGGTGCGCGTCAACCCGGCCACGAGGGCACTCGTCCTGCAAGCAATCGAAGAACAAGCAAGAACAAGTAGGACAAGCACTGAAATTGCTAGATAAAGATGAAAGTTTCACTATCAAACACAATATGGTGGGGTTCCGATTACAGGCAGACGGGCGGTTTAGCCAACACGCGCGCTGCGAGCCGATAGCAAGTAGCTATCTCTATCATCAAAACCCAAGAAACTGTAAAGGGGTATCTAACTATTTAAGGAGGTGGGAGGATGACCTAAGGGAACCCTAGGGTCGTGCTCCACCTGGTTGGGGCGCACCCCACATGGGCCCCACTTGGGCCGGGGTCCCATACGAAGTTACAAGCCCATAGGCCCATTATAGGTGACGCGGCAACTTGTTGCTTCAATTGCGGCTCAATAAGATGGAATTTCACAATGAGGATGGATCCATTGGAAAGAGGACTCCAAGAGCTTTCCATCAAGTACTCACGGGCCGAAAACGGAGGTCGTATGCAGATTCGGCGACCGTTTGAAGTCAGTAGTGTAGTAGGTGGCTGAATCGGATTCCAGCACTTGGAGGACTTGATCTTGATATCTTCTTGTTCATCCATGATGTGAGCAATGGTTGCATCCATGGTAGCCATGGTCACATCATCCTCCCCTTCTTCACGGAAAACTGTCCTCGGTTTTTCCATATGGTGCTCTTTGCGTAGTCCATTTACAACAACATGTTTCTTCCAGTCAAAACAAGGCAAACTCGAGACAATTTGGTTAGCAATAACATTTCGCTCTAGCTTGCATGTTTTATCCACATGTATAGGAGGTTCTAAATCTGAACATATGTAAACTCTATGCACCAAATATATTCCTCTATCATCAGATTCGCCAAATATATGAAAAATAGCACTAGTTGGACAAGGCAAATCAGACTTAGCAAATAATTTCTTCTTCAAATTATCGAGCTCACAAAAATCATCAAACTGAACATAGCCCAAAGTATTTAAAGATGATAGCAATTCATGTTCCTGTACTTCATTAGCAATGTGAACAACATGCTTAAAATTGGCACACAAAGAAACACTAGAAATAGCATGTTCATTCACCAGTTGTGGCATGGATATAAGTGAAGCATTATCACACAACTCTTCTTTATCACAAGGAACAGCAAGTAAATCAACTTGTGACAAAGGCATCTCAGCAATTGTTTCCACTAATGGTTGCTCTTCTCTAGCATGAAAAGCTGACATTTTCAATTCATTAACGGCACACTCACCTTGATTAATTGCAGCACCATTAAGATTACCTGTGGTTCTCTGTTCGGATGATGTAGCTGCATCAGTCTTCTCTTCTTCCTTCGTGAGTGATGGAGATGGCACCTCGATCCTATTGCTCTTCTCCCCGTGAATGTTCTGAGCTCCCTGCAAAATGTCAGTAATAGGAGGCACAAGCATAGCTTGTTTCTCCCTTAGGTTCTTTAAAATATTGCTCTCAACACTGCAAGCAAGCATGAACAAGTGGCCTATATGATTATATGTCACATTAGTAAGCCCAGCCTGAACATCGGAATTAAGCCCTCTAAAAAATCTAGTCATTGTGTTCTCATTGCTTTCTTTTAAACCACTATAAGTGATACAAATTTTAAAGTTGTGAAAGTACTCCCGCACGGTTTTGTCACCTTGTTTTAAATGTTCTAATTTCTCAAGGAGAGTACGTTTATAATATGAAAACACAAAATTTTTCCTCATCATTGTTTTGCATTCATCCCAAGTTTCAAGCTTATTGCCAACAGTATACCACCAAAAAGATGCAGAACCAGTACACTTATTACTAGCAGCCTTAATCATTTCAGTATTAGAGAAATCATACTCGTCAAATTGTTTGTCTACTGCTAGCTCCC